ACCGGTCTTTATTTGAGGAATTACGGTATGTATCTTCTAGTCATTGATTAGCATATTCTGTCTTGATAATCTATAAATCGTGTTCTGGGGGCGGGGTTTATGTAAATTTTAGGGTTGGTGATGTCACTAACCCGGGAGGAATGTCGTGTAGTCCCTGCAGCCGTTTTTGTTGTAGTCCTTAAAAAGCGATTTCTTTAAAAGCAAATCTCTCCCTTTGCTTTAAACTTTGAGTGTTGTAACTTTGCAGATGTTGTTTATGCTCAAAGCGCAAAATTACACACTAACTAAAGTTAGAAAAGTGAAATCATAATCAACCACCCCTTTAAGTAGGATCTGAACCAGTCTAAGACAGGACCTGATAAACCGACGCAGTTCTTTGGTCGGTCGAGATGAATGTTCATGAACTAAGGTTTAGAGAAACACAGACTTGTGGAAATATGCGGATAACGATGGAACTTGTGACCAGAGTTAGCTAACAATGCTTTGGGAAACGCACTCCAGGAAGATCGTTCCTGGGAAGGTCTCATAAACACAGTTGTAGCAACCAGAGAAAAACTACCGTTAAAAAGTCAAGGGTTCAACTAAAGAAAACGCGGTAACACTTTACTTGAAGGGGTGTGCATAAGACTGACATGACACCTTCATAATCATGACACATGTCATGAATATGAAGGAGGTTTTATGCATGTTTATGACAACTGTCATTAAGTGTCATTCGGTCAATTATGAAATTTTTAATGCAAATATGACATTGTTTGAGATGTCTTTGTTATGACACCTTGACATAAACCATCATAACCTGTCAGTGTCTTGGTAATGGCAACTTGACATTATCAAGACAACATAAATTGTCATAAATATGACATAGCAGATTAATTATCAAACTTAAGAAACCACTTAGCTTTATGGGTTAACATTACATTAAACTGTCATGTGGTTGGTTTTGACATTGGCTGTCATGAGGCCATTATAACATTTTAATGACAAATTCAATTTGTACCACAGTAGTCGAGGTCAAGAAAAATATTCATCACACAGTTATAATGCCCTTATGACAGCCAATATCAAAACCAACAACCTGACAGTTTAATGTAATGTTAACCCATAAAGCTGAGTGGTTTCTTAAGTTTGATCATTAATCTGCTATGTCATGTTTATGACAGGTTATGATTTATTGGTTTATGTCAAGGTGTCATAACAAAGACATCTCAAACAATGTCATTAAACAATCTGCATTAAAAAATGTCATAATTGAGCGAATGACACTTAATGACAGTTGTCATAACCATGCATGTGTCATGTCATGATTATGAAGGTGTCATGTCAGTCTTATGCACACCCCTTCAAGTGAAGTGTTACCAAGAACTTTTGTTGACGTATGACAGAAATAAAGTCAAACTGGTTTGTAATAAGTGGAGATGGTAATTCTGTTTTGGAGGTTTAATCCTCCTCTGCTGATAACTCGAGAGATTTAATGTCCTTTATTCGCAGTTGATTTTATCTTAGCCTGTGGCTGAAAGTCACACATTTTTTTTTCTTGTTTTTTCTCCTGGTCTTTCCTTCAGTGTTTCTGCTTGTTAACAGGTTCGTTAAGGCTGAGATTACTCTAATATATAATGTATACAGATGTTGTGGCTCAGATAAGGTACAGTCATGGTTTATTCGCTTTGCTCTTGGCTGATGTGGCATTGCTGTGGTCTCATTGTGGTCCAGATCTGGCAAAGAAGAGCAGAGCGCCCAAGTACGATCTTTTCATGTGGTATTACTTTTCAGATTTAAATTATTTGACCTTTTTATGTCACTGACGTAAAAAAAAAAGGATGACCAGTCTTGAAGAAAGAATTAGATGGCCAACTTGTAAGACAAGTCTAAGCAGTTTATGCACCTGGCCACATATCAGAATAATAACAGAATGAAGAATGTTTGAATTACAATATATAGAAGCATTCATAAAAATCAATGTTTTAATAAAACAGGAATTATTAAACAAAAATAATGCAAAAAAAAATCCTAATGCTAGTGAATCACAGCTACTTATATCCGCATAAACACGTTCTCTGACATCAACTTGCCATTTTAAGTTGAAAATATGCTATCATTTACATGATTCATAAGTACAATAACAATTAGACCTATACTTCATTTACCGTTTGTAAACTTCGATTCCCACAGCCACTGGCTCCAGAAGTCATCACATGGAAAATCAGCGATCCTGTCATTTGAAAATGAACACTTTGACATGCCAAATTAATCTGCGATTTTCAGTGATGTTCAATAGCGCTGTCTTTACCCGTGTCCGCTGGCGATGCCGGACTGGGTTCCTGATCCAACAATATCCTGTCAACTATATTAAAAAAGGGCAGTGTTGGGCAAGTTACTTTTAAAAAGTAATTAGTTACAGTTACTAGTTACTTCTGCCAAAAAGTAACTCAATTAGATACTCAGTTACAAATTTTAAAAGTAACTAGTTACTTAAAAAAGTAACTATTGCGTTACTTTCAAGTAAAATTAAATTTTAAATGCTCAAATGTGACCCGACCTCTACCCCTCTTTAACGGAACTTACAATACATGTGCATGTTCAATTATTTATGATAAATCTGAATATTATAATAAAATGGACACTTAATACAATACATTATTAACAGAAACATGAAACATTGTACACACATCTAAAAAAAAAAAAATGTTGCTGTGGGACAAAGTGAGACTAGCCTCCAATCAAATGCCATGTATGTAGATATTATGTTTATATAGTGGATCAATGCAAATAACACAATAGATGTTTTGGAACTTTTGATATTTATTGCCCCTCAACAGGCCACAACTGGGCAAAATTAAATTAAGCTTGTTAAGCTCGTCGCCATACCTGTCTCTCGTTGACTGACTGGCTTGTGTTGTTCCTTGTGTGTCCTGTCCTGTCCGACTATGCGTTATGATGGGTCGTTCGCAATTCATGAGCGTTAGCCGTTAGTGATGATGGGTCGTTCGCGAATGAGCGTTAGTGATGATGGATCGACTCGTTCGCGAATGAGCTTTTGATGGGTCGTTCGCGATTCTAAGAGTTAGTTACTCTAAGAGCCGGCTCTTTTAGGTGAACGTCGGGAGCTGGCTCGCATATCTGAAGAGCCGACTCTATTTTTACAAATTTAGCCTATAGAAATTAAATAATTATGTAATAAAAATTTAAATATTATAGTCAAAGTCATTTAAAGAGCCGTTTGTGAGCCAAAAGAGCCTGCTTTTTTCAGTGAGCTGAGTCAAAAGAGCCGAATGCCCATCACTACTATGCGTGCTTTCGAACACCCGCCCAACTCTACCTCTGATTGGCTTACAATGACATTTTACTCTACCTCAGCCAATCGTCAGCATTTATGCGCTTGTCTCGTGCTCTGCCCACTAACCAAGGAAGAACAGTAAACAAAGTATTTGCCTCTCGCTCAGAGATCTAGTTGGTCTGATGAAAAAAACAAAAAACAGCTTCATCAGTTATAGTAACGCGCCGCATTTTTTGGCAGTAACGGCGTTATTAAGATGAGAAGAGTAATCAATTAGATTACACGTTACTGGAAAAAGTAATGCCGTTATTCCCATCACTGAAAAAGGGCCAAACATCCGAAACACTTTCAAATCAAAGAGTCTGTCTTGCTATAGTGAGGATCAGATCAGCTTTCAGGAGCCGTTTACACTGTTGGCCAAAAGTGACGTACAGCCTTACCTTCATCCAAATATTATTCAAACTTTGTTAAAGATTTTGTAAGCATACTACGCAATTGTGCTTGGAGTCGATTGATTTATTAATGATAACACAATGAAATTGTGCTTACATCATTTTTGGCCAGGCTATCATTCAAAGAAATTATGAACACGTACAAAAGAGAACCAACGAAATATATATAACGGATTATTTTGTAGTTACTTTTTCCTGTCAGCTTTTTGCATAGTAAAATAAAACCTGTAACTGTAGTTTTTTTTTTTGCCAAATAATTTTGTCAGATAAATACCATAACCAAGTTTAGTGTTTTGTTCATCCATCAATCATTTTCGTCATATTTTGATGGTTTAATTAAAATTTTAGGGTCGTTTAAAACAAATATCCTCTCAAGACATCACTTTTGGCCATTATTAGATTAGATAATTAATATGTTCTCATAATTGCACTGTTGGTATGACTGTGGTTCAGTCTGCAGGAACAGGAAGAATGGCACAGAGAGCGATAGTAAATTGTAGTACAATCAAAATTGAATAATGTTGGATTTGGACTAGTTGTTTATTTATAGACATGACTAGAGAACACTAACAATAAACCCGACCCGTCACCCCCCCCCCCACCACCAGTTAAACTAAACAGTCAGCGATACAAAAGCCCTCCAGAGACAAATAATCTGATCCAAGACTGTCCATTCTTCCGTCTGATGTATGTTCTTACTCTTCTGTACAACACAGCCGCACCCGTCCCAGAATGCACTGCACGTGTGCTGATCCTCGAGCTTTCGACGGATGCATTTACGGCTCTTCCCAGCGAGTGCTCGTCACGGATGGTGAGAAATGAAATCGAATGCAACTCCTCCGGAAGGGGAAAACATACTGAGACACAAAAGTGGCAAAAGAAGTGAAGCAAAGCAAAAGGACCATGCAATGGCTGACTTGCTGTGCTGTGATTGGCCAACGCATCGGCCAATTGGAGATCATAGTGATTCATGATATGTGAAACATTCTAATCCATTTCCAGCGATAATGATCCATTGGCCAGGAACATAGAAACTCTATCTCTCTCGCTCTCTCACTCGCTCTCTCACACACACAGCTTTAATACATACATCATCCAAACTGTTACACACATGCATATATACATGTTCAAACACACACACACTCCTGGCTCTCGCTGTTTACTTGAGCGTTCTGCTCTGGATGTTTGTCTCAACGTCCAGTGTGTTTCACTGTCCCGAGTGTTTGTGTGTGTATTGTGGTGTGTGTCAGTGTGTGTTTGTGTGCTGCGTGTCATCTTCACTCTACTCTTCCTCTTCCTCCTCCTCCTCACTGATGGGAAGCCCATCGTCCTGCATGCAGGATCTGAAGTAGCTGGTCAGTGTCGAGGCCACGTGTCTCTCGCTGCTCTTAGACAGAAAATGCCCCTCGTCTGGATAAATCTGAAGAACAACCGTGCAGAAAACCATCAACAATCGTGACTATCATCAGTGGACTGAGACGCATTGTGTGTTTTTTCCAGTACCTGCAGTGTGTAATTCGCTCCCACCTTCACCAGGTTCTTTATGAGCTCGGCTGTGTGCTGGAAATGAATGTTCGCTGGAGGAAAAAACAAAAAAAAGGTCAAGAATGGCTCAATGGCAGAGTAACGCAATCAAATGCTATGCTACAATAGAATACAGTAGTGGCCAAAAGTGATGTCAGGCCTAGGAAAATCGACATCTTCACCCTTTATGTAAATATTGTCCACAAGCAGTTGTGCTTGGAGTCGATTGTTTTATTTGTGATAATGCAATCTTCAGTGTACTACATCATTTTTGGCAAAAAATATTTTCCTCATATTTTGAACTTGAACCCTCATCCTCTCCTTGGGAAATTATGACCCGAAATTCATTTTCTTTCAATTTTTAAATATTGAGTGTTCATCAGAGTGGTCCAAGACCATGCGAGATTTGGCGCACTTGAACTTGGAATACACACAATTTTTTTTACTGGATTCAAAGAGTTTATTTGGTAGTGAAAAAAAATAGTAGCAAGTCCTTCCCTTGGGTCATTTTAAATGGAAAATGGGGATTTTTTTTTTTTTTTTGTAAAAAAAAAAAAAAAAAATTCTGGCACAATCATACGGAAGCGTATTGCATTCACTTGAGGAAAAAAAAATCTACTCTGTTTTTCTGAATTAACGAGTTAATTATCTCAGAATTATGAGATAATTTTTCATGGAAAAAAAGTTTTTGCTCTGTTTTTCTGAATTAACGAGTTAATTATCTCAGAATTACGAGATAATTTTTCATGGGAAAAAAGTTTTTGCTCTGTTTTTCTGAATTAACGAGTTCATTATCTCAGAATTACGAGATAATTTTTCATGGGAAAAAAGTTTTTGCTCTGTTTTTCTGAATTAACGAGTTAATTATCTCAGAATTACGAGATAATTTTTCATGGAAAAAAGTTTTTGCTCTGTTTTTCTGAATTAACGAGTTAATTATCTCAGAATTACGAGATAATTTTTCATGGGAAAAAAGTTTTTGCTCTGTTTTTCTGAATTAACGAGTTAATTATCTCAGAATTACGAGATAATTTTTCATGGGAAAAAAGTTTTTGCTCTGTTTTTCTGAATTAACGAGTTAATTATCTCAGAATTACGAGATAATTTTTCATGGGAAAAAAGTTTTTGCTCTGTTTTTCTGAATTAACGAGTTAATTATCTCAGAATTACGAGATAATTTTTCATGGGAAAAAAGTTTTTGCTCTGTTTTTCTGAATTAACGAGTTAATTATCTCAGAATTACGAGATAATTTTTCATGGGAAAAAAGTTTTTGCTCTGTTTTTCTGAATTAACGAGTTCATTATCTCAGAATTACGAGATAATTTTTCATGGAAAAAAGTTTTTGCTCTGTTTTTCTGAATTAACGAGTTAATATCTCAGAATTATGAGATACATTTTTCTTGAAAAACATTTTTTTTCACTCTGTTTTTATGAATTAATGAGTTACTCATAATTTTGAGATAATTAAGTCATTAATTCAGAAAAACAGAGCAAAACCTTTTTTGCATGAAAAATTATCTCGTAATTCTGAGATAATTAGCTCGTTAAATTCAGAAAAACAGAGTAGATTTTTTTTCCTCAAGTGAATGCAATACGCTTCCGTACAATCCAGAACAAATAACCACACAAATAAAGGCATGAGACTAAAGAACGGGGGTGGGGGTCATATAACAGGTGCAATGTTTTTCAATTTTTCAAATAAAATCAGTCACAATGCAACTAACAGTCACAATGCAACTAACAGTCACAATATAACTAAAAATTCACCCAAAAAAAAAGGGACGTCCCGCGTGACGTCACGCCATTTGGAGCAGCCATCTTGACGGAATAGAAAGTGCTAAACCGCCGGTGATAATACAGCTCGTCGCGAAATATTCCTATCATGCCTGAGCGATGCTGTGCATTTGGATGCGATCAGATACGTGATCATTCAAAAGGAATATCTTTATACCGTATCCCAAAAGAAACAAAACGGAGAAAAGTGGTTGGTGGCAATAAACAGGCGAAACGCACACATGCAATCCTAGATCAGTTCATTCGTTAGGCGTGTTATCACATTACATTCTTTCGTTTTCAAATACCAAAAGCTGATCTTGTATTTTATTTGACACTTCTTATAAATCGTTAGAAACACAGGTTGAGACAACAGTCTCAATGACATTTTATCATGACAGTCAGTGATAAGTATAAAAAAGTATAATCATAGGCTATTATTTCGTTTTTCTTGGATCAAAATAGATTAAACAAATTCATTAAAGATACACTTAATCGTGTTGGTGATTTTGTTTTGTGTTTTTCCCTGTAAACTCAGTTTAAAAATGATTACAGGAAGCATAATTTGGTGATAAAAATACATTGACCAACCTTTGCGGTGATGATTGAAAAATCATTTTCTTTTAATGAAGCTCCGGTGTAGCGTGATGGGAAGTGAATAAGGCAGCTGTAATGTCACCAAACTCAATGTCAGGAAGTTTTTCTACACATTTAATGCCTGTAAAAATAACTTGTGGTGCTTCATATGGATATATGATTCCTAATTCCTTTATCTTCCTCTTGTATATTTATTTTTGTGATGCTAATAATAAGTGCGATGACATGACGTGGTGGGGGAAAAAGTCGATTCTGTTCAGTATCGAGATATTTTGCACCATGATTTTGCGCAAGCAATTATATCAATACTGTAGCGCAAAGTATTGCATATTTAGGCTAATTATACTAATAATTATATTATAAGTATAATATACTAATAATCTATATTACCCACGGCAATGGATCTATGAGTAGCCGACAGATGTATTCCGTCAAAATGGCTGACACACGGCTAGGGGTCACGTGACTGGGAGATCCCTATACACCTGAATGCAAACTGAAAAGAAAAACTGAAGAAAACTGACTTTGGGCACCAGGCGAAGGGTTAATTTACTCCATCTAGTTGCAAGAGTCATGAAATATCATGTTATAATATTTTTTTCCCACAAGAGGTCGGCAGAGACACTCAATGTGAGAGTTTTTGAGCCAAATTTTTGCTTGTAATGGAGAGTAAGTAAAAGAATGTGAAGAATGTGCTTATTTATATTAAAATTATTGATTAAATCTAGTAATTTAGGGGTAAAAAATATTAAAATATCTCCCAAAAATTGCATTAAAAATAGAAAAAAATAATAAAAATTAAATGATACAAGGCAAAAAAAAAAAAAAAGAAGTATAATTTAAGGGCTTCTGGTCATTTTGACCCGCGAGAGAAGGATTAGTTACAGGTACAGGAGGAGAAGATGTGGGAAATATCCCCCTCTGGACATCTCTTTTGACCACAACTGTAGAAAGTGAATATCTGTATGAATTATTCAGGCCAGTGGTTAATAATTTATTAATAGAGCCTGTATGTGAATTGTACGTCACGTACATTGTGCGAATAGTGTACATTGTGAACTGTGACACACACTGACCGTCAGCAGTCGCGTGCAGCAGCATCAGCGTTTGGTCTCGGAAACCCTGTGGATTCTGCAGCACACTGGAGAACTAGAGGAACAAACCGTCCGTCACTACATTCAAGCTCAGACTGAGATCAACAACATCTCACCAGCACTTACCTGATATCTGCTGTCGTCCTGAAGAGGAAGTCCCAGATAGCGCTCAGAGAAGGCCGAGGCTGAGAGAGAGAGAGAGAGAGAGATCAGTTTCACTCACAGAACAGAAAACCATGATGATCTCTGATCTGAAATGCTCTAGACACTTCAAAAGCTTAAAGGGGTCATGAACTGCATTTTTTATTTTGTTTTATAATGTTCTTTGAGGTCTATTTGCAATGTTATCAATATTTTTACATCAAATTGGCTATTTTCTATCCTGCTTTTCTCTTTCGAAACACTCAGTTTTGATGGGAATCACATTCAAGACTATTTATAATATTACATATTAAAATAATTTTCAACGTGCCCGCCATTACACGTTCGGGATTGTTTTGAAAATTTCCAACGTTTAAAAATATCTTGTTACATAATTGAAATATTGGCCGACAATATGAAACATTTATGCGCATTAGATATGCCTTTGTTGTGGCAAATAAAGTTTAAGTACTTAGATTTAAAAGTATGACTTGAGGTGTTTCGTGTAAACTGAATTTTGAATGAATGTACCATTGTTCTTATAGGCTATTCATCCTTTTCGATAAAATAAAAAACGTATACATTGTCATTTCCAGTGTTGTGTTTTAAAGGGATAGTTCACTTTGAAATTAATTTTTGGTATGTTTTAGCTTACCTCAAGGGCTTCCAAGATGTAGGTGTCTTTGTTTCCGCAGTATTTTCAATTTTGATATTTTTAGGTCAAACCGTTTGTAAGGACTGGGCGAGGGTGAATCTGAAACGACTAAATACATCCTGCTAAAGACCCAAAAAGCCTGGAATGTAAATTTACACCCACACACACACACACACACACACACACACACACATCCCCCACAAGTGAAGCCTGCTCAGGACAGAGCGTGGTTTCCAGCTACGAGACACTTTTATGACTGATTTGGAATTTGATGTTCAAGAGAAGGAAACTTCTCTTTTAAAAAAAAAGACATTTAACCAGATATATTAGATGTGTTTTTATGTGTGTCCATTTGCCCATGTCACATTGAATGTTCACAGAACTGTGGCTCTCTCTGAATTCTAACCAAGGAGGAGAAATGAATCCTGTATTCATATATATATATATATATATATATATATATATATATATATATATATATATTATATATCCACTTGAGAATTGCATGAACAATGTATCTAAGTTCCCTATTTCATGAATTGCCTTTCTGTGGTTTGGTCTATGTTTCTCGACAACTCTAATGGGATAATGTTTCAAACTTTGCCAACTAAGGTTTAACCAAATCCATTTGTGGCAAGTTTGGTCTCGATAAACTCCAATCTTCGTTCCCCATTTGTTAATTGACATTACATTTTGCTAAACTTTGTGACACATTAGTATTATAAGAATTGTGAAGATTCTTCTCTTAAACAACCGACGAAATTAGGGTTTCAAATGTCTCTCTCTGGAGACAAAGAGCAATAAAACCCAAAGTCCCGCCTGTAAACTTCCAACCCTCTAATTGGCCAAGCCAACAGAAAGAGGCTGGATTTCTCCAAAAGTGATAAATGACGCTTCCCCCCTCCGCTCGCTCTCTTCCTCCCGTGTCCTCGTGTCATGATGTAACGTCTCGCCTCCGGGCGAGCTCTTTGCCTTTCTTTTATTTGTTTCTAGTTTAGTTTGTGTTTTTCAGTTGTAGATAAGTCTCTGTGTTTAATTCCAATCGACGATTGAAAAGAAAACCCCGTGACATATCTCTTCAGCAAATCCATCTACAAGGGACCTTTAAACAAGCGCGCTCGCTTTGAAGGAGAAACCCGCGCACGTGACCGCGTGACGCGCCGGACCGAGAGACACACACGCTTCTTCACAAGCCATGCAAAGAGTTACCTGTGCAAGTATCCGTGTTTGATCACGCTTTTAAGATTTGTTGAAGTCTTGTTGTCTCTCAAAGTTCTGTTGTCTATGTGAATTTGCTATTTAGAAAGATCCTCGGGTCTTTCTAAACTCCCTCTTGCATAACTGCAACTCTCTACATTTCTTCTCTCTCTCTATCTCTATGCATTTCTCGTTCATTGATGCCTTATCATGTTTGTTTGTTTATTATGTTTGTAAATACATATATCCCATGTAACCGTAGTAAATACATAAGTAATCATGCCTCTATTAAATTAATTATATATTCATTTGATTGATGTGCTGTCTCTTTGCTCAGTTTCAAGTCCCTTAAGTGCCAAAGATCTTATTGCTACAAGCTTACTAAAATTAAATATACCTTAAAAGTATGTGTTTATAGGGCGGGAAAACCAATTCTTCTGGCCAGAGAATTGCGTTTCCTGAAATCCTATAAAGTAAGATGATATTGTGGATCCCACAAATATTATCCTGACAATTGAGCTAATTCATTTGACCTGTTTGTGAAACATGGTCCGTGTAATTAACTGCAATCAACTTGTGGTTAATTTCAGGGATTCACATGCATGCAGGTAGAATGACAGATCCTCCCTTATCGGGAGATTTATTAACATGTAAGACTGGTCTAATCCAAACATGCATGAATAATTATTAATTACCAATTATTAATTATGATATGCAAATTCCCCGCGGATTAGATCCGCCCCTGAATCCTTACACGTTCTTGTCTCTCAGTCATATAATGCAGGTCTATGGTCACCACCTCAAAGAGCATGCACAGAGAAGTCCAGATTAAACATGATTTAATGACTCGTAAATGTAAGTACACATTGATGGCCTAAGACACCAAACGAGCGGTTTGTGTGAGAAAACGAACAGTATTTATATCGTTTTTACCTCTTGTAAACACAGCCACGTCCAAGTACTCTGAGGGCGCCGGCGCTTCGGTCTTTTCCGGAAAGCGCCGGAAGTGATCTCTCGCGCGTGTACGTCACTCATTGTTTACACACAACAGAGATTGTAGGTAAGACGGCTAATTAAAAGGGTACTAATTTGCGCTTATCCGGGATGTTTAAACCGTCGTAAAATAAAACAATTAAAAAAAATAAAACAATTGTATGAGTGACGTACACGCGCGAGAGATCACTTCCGGCGCTTTCCGGAAAAGACCGAAGCGCCGGCGCCCTCAGATCACTTGGACGTGGCTGTGGTTACAAGAGGTAAAAACTATATAAATACTGTTCGTTTTCTCACACAAACCGCTCGTTTCGTGTCTTAGGCCATCAATGTGCACTTACATTTACGAGTCATTAAATCATGTTTAATTTGGACTTCTCTGTGCATGCTCTTTGAGGTGGACCCCATAGACCTGCATTATATGACTGACAGACAACAACGCTTTGACCTAAAAATATCAAAATTGAAACTACTGCGGAAACAAAGACACCTACATCTTGGATGCCCTTGAGGTAAGCTAAAACATACCAAAAATTAATTTCAAAGTGAACTATCCCTTTAAATCAAACGAAACGTGTCGTAATGTCGTAGTGATGACAAGATGTCGCTCACTGAAGCTTGTATTCAGGATTACAGCGAATGGTTAGCCTGGATGCCAGCCGAGCTTAGCCCCGCCCACAACATCTGAGGATGGGAAGTTCGGTCTGGACTTGATCCGTTGTGAAGCAACGAACCAAAGCTGTTCGGACCAATCAAATCGTCAGGGCGGGCTTTATACGATGATGGACAGATGATCAACCGTAGCGTAATCATCCACGTCACCAAAGAGCGCTTGGGTTAAATTCGTTTACAACAAAGATGGCCGCCGCTGGAGAACTGAGATGTGTAGATTCAGCCGTCGCGTCTGTTATAGAAGATGTAGACAGCGCATTCATTTAAAAAGAGGAACAGGGCGACAGGCCGATCGGAAAGATGTTTTTGCCGTCCTTCCTACGGGAGTCGTTCAATCCAATTGAGTGGAGAGGCATTTTTTTCCCTGGTTGGGTTGAAACACGGCCCATAATCACTCACAGCCCAGTGGAGCCGTCTCAGACTCACACTCTGACTAGCATCTGAGTATGACGATTAGGGATGCGCCGAAATGAAAATTCTTGGCCGAAACCGAAAAACCGAAAGAAATTATGCCAATTATTAGTACCATTGCATTTATGGCTATGACCGTGTACTAGCTTTACTAAAATCAAGGCATTGCAATTGCATAAATTAATATTAAAGTTTCAAAGAATAAATCAATTGCAAATTATGCAAATATTTATTTAGCACATTGCAACGGTGCACAGTATAAAATAAAATTCAAACTAAAATGTTGAACTTGACCCCACTCATGTGTACATTAAATAATAATCTACAGGCCTACTGGGTTTTAAACTTCAATGTTCTCTCATAAAAACAAAGTGTATTTAGGTCAAGTGCATTTGAAATTTTTCTCTGTAGGACTACTACAAGAAAGTGCATTCAGAACAAGTGCTTAAAGATACAACAATATTTTCTCTGTAGGCCTTTAACATAATAGTGTATCAAAACAAAGACTGCCATAGCCCATGTGTTATCTGTAGAACTTTAACACAACAAATGCACCAAGAATTGCAGATGTGCAAAGTGGATAATAAATATGTAAACACTAGACAAGCCCATTCTACTTATTGAGGTAAAGTGGCAGGTTTTTCTTGATGAAGAGTAGCTTCTCTGCTTTATTAATTCAATGAAAATTTTCAATGAATTCGCGTCTACCGCGCCGTGCAAAATGCCTCATCCGCGCCGCAGGACCGCGTCTTTACATCGACTTAACATTGAAATCATTCGCGCCAGACGCTCTATTCGCGTTTGGTGTGAACGCTCCATCAGATATACTGAAATACGTCCACACCACAGACATGTTGCTTCAGACAAGCACGCGCAGGTCGCGGTTTCTGTTTGCGTCATCACAACATTTCGGCCGTATTGTTTCGGTGAAAAAAGTCTACTTGTAGTCAAGACCGCCTAAACCGAGACCAAGACACTACCAAGACCAGAGGGTATCGAGACCAAGACCAAGACAAGACAAAACCAAGACCAAGACCAAGACCAAGACAAGACAAGACCAAGACAAAACCAAGACCAAGACAAAACCAAGACCAAGACAAGACCAAGACCAAGACCAAGACAAGACCAAGACCAAGACCAAGACCAAGACAAGACCAAGACCAAGACCAAGACAAGACCAAGACCAAGACCAAGACAAGACCAAGACCAAGACCAAGACCAAGACCAAGACAAGACCAAGACCAAGACAAAACCAAGACCAAGACAAGACCAAGTCCAAGACAGACCAAGTCGAGACCGGAGGGAAAAAACAGACTAGTGTAGTTGAAGCTAAGTAATAACTTGTAAGATTTTGTTTTGCATTGCCTGCCTATCTCTGCCGATTTCGAAGTCTCCAAATGAATCCATTTTGGAACTTTTAAATACGAAATATTATTTTTAAAAACGAAATTATAGGCTAAAGTGCAGGATCCGAAAGTTGGTCGTTTTGTCGCTATGGTTACACACACACACACACACACACACACACACACATACACACACACACACACACACCGTTGGCGGTGCGCTCAAAGTCATCTGTCAGTTGTGCAGTTACCCAAAATATCCTGAATGAAGTTAAAACCCATCATGTCACTGATATGTGTTTTACTAAATATTAATACCATCAAAAACTGTACATGATATGTGTTTCTTAAATCAAGTGATCAAAGTGCTCTTTGCCGCTGCGATCAGTGGCGCAGATACGGCTCGCGCACCGCATTGTCTTCACTCGGACGCGCGCTTCAATCCGTTGCGGATATCGGCGTGGATATTGTAGTATTGTATTGCTAAATCCCCCGACCACTATCGGTCTGAGACAGCGAGACCTAGACAAGACCGAGAGGTCCGAGACCAAGACCAAAGACCGTCAAGGCCGTGACAAGACCAAGACCACGTAAAAGTGGTCTCGAGACATACATCACTATAAAAGTCTTTCGGCCAAAAACCGAAAATGCACTTTTGGGCCATTTTCGGTGCCCGAATATTCGGTGCATCCCTAATGACGACGTCAGGCTAGCGAATGGCTTCAATCATGACAATAACAGAAGCTCTCTAGTGCTTTCCTCCGTATCCGATTATCCAGCGCATTCACCAACTCAACCAGGCCCCGCCCCTTTAATCTGCATATTAATTATTTAAATGAGGAATATTGTGACGTGTTTCGTTCCCGGAGAAAAACTCAAGACTACGATGGAGGCGTTTCAGGGAGTTCAGAAACACTGACACTGATATAGAGAAGAACTCCCACTGGAGACCCTTTTCATGCTCACACACAAACATTACACAATTATTATTTTTTAAATCACATTCACATCACAATAACTTACCATACAAATTCCAATCTGTCACAGGCGACATGGCCACTGCACATTTAAACAAGTTCTCGGTGGATTTGATCAGAAGAAGTGCGATATATCCTCCATAATCCTGCGGAGAGACACATATGGAAGTGTGAAGAAAGATCAGTGATTTTCTAGCATTACAGCAGCCGTGTGACACTTAACCTGCGACTTACCCGACCAAACACACCGATTCTGGTTCGATCAATGTACGAAAATTTCAGCAGGTACCTGGAACAAAAGCATGATTTCGTTAGCGTGTTTCACAGCAGTGTGTGTAGTGTCAGATCACACACACACAGAGCACGAGGAAGAGTAAATGTGAAGTGGTTTTATGTGTTTTATTTATTTATGACATTGTGGATAATGTTTGTGTTGTGGATTATGTGTCAATATGCCTGTATTATACAACAAATGGCCTTTCGGGGACATTAAAGTTTGAGTCTAAGTCTAAATGTGGACAGAAAAGGGACATTTTCGTCTTAATGGTAGATGAAACAGGGTTCGTACAGATACTGTCAAATGAAAATCCAGGACTTTAAGCATTACTTTTTTAGCTTTCAAGGACTACAATCTGTGATGTCACTTATCAAACAATATCTTTATTATCTTTTGAATTCTAAAAAAGGTAAATATGAATACAAATAAACCAAAATGGTACAAATAAAGTGCAGCACATGGAATGACTTTGGTAACTTTAACTATACTATGTCAAAGATATCACTTTTCTCTCTCAAACTGATTTTTTTCCGCCATTAATATATGATTGACCTGAAGAATGAAAGATCCATCATATGATTGTATAGCCATGAGAAATTGCTCTATCTATATCAGACGGGCTGAAGCTTTAATTTTGTGTGAAAAGATTGTTTTATCGATTAAATTAAACACTACTTTCACATGTGTCTTTCAATAATTCAAGCACTTTTCAAGTACCTTTTCAAAAATTGGCTGTTTTCAGGGGTTTTCCAAGACTTAAATTTAAAAAAGTCAAATTCAAGTACTTCAAGCCCTTTAAAGGGGTCATCGGATGCCCATTTTCCACAAGTCGGTGTGATTCTTTAGGGTCTTCCTGTAAAGTTTGTAACATACTTTGGTTAAAATTCCTCAATGGTTGTGTAAAAACACACACTTTTACCTCCTCTAAAACAGCTCTGTTCACAGCGACCCGTTTCGGTTCATGTCTCTTTATTTGATATTGAGCAACTGCTCACCCTTGGCGGACAGTATGGCTGAGGGCGTAAATATGCTAATACAGGGAATATGCTAATACGGGAAATATGCTATTGCTAATGCGGGACAGTCCGTCAGTGGCCGTGGGCGGAGCATGAGCAACATGCAGAGGTGTAAAGTCCAGGGGTCAGAAAGTAAAAGGCCTGCCGTGTGTTTATTCCACTCATGAACTCAAGTCAGCTGATTCCCCTCATTAGTTCTCCTCTCTGGAAAACTGCTAATTAGCAAATCCAGGTGATTGGAACAAAATACTGAGGAGGAATTTTACTTTCTGAACCTGGACTTCATATTGCTCAGAAAAGTCAAACGGCTTGATTATTGAGTGTTTAGACTTTTTGGAGAAAAAAAAAGTAAAAAAAAGGAGTTAATGGATTTTTTTTCATTGTATGGTGGTTGTGTGGAAAGACACGTTTATATGCAAACACCATATAAAAGTGAATTTTGCATCCGATGACCGCTTTAAGCACCTTGAACTGAGAACGATGACGTTGAGATGCGCTAGTTTGAGTTGTAGACATACGTCACACAACCAAATGTTAGCGATTGGTTATGGCAGATCCAGAGTGACTCAGGGCAGATCCAACAGAGTACCCGCCTTAACGCTTGTCAATGGAGCGAGGCCAAATGAAATGTACGAGAGTCTGGTGGGACCAGGCTATGATTCTTTAGGGTCTTCATGTAAAGTTTGTAACATACTTTGGTTAAAATTCCTCAATGGTTGTGTAAAACAACACCCTTTTTACCCCAAAAGCAGCTCTGTTCATAGGGACCCATTTCGGTTCATGTCTCTTTAAATGATAATGAGCAACTTTTCCACCCGATGACCGCTTTAAAGGAACACTCCGACTTTTTGGGCGTGATAACCGCAGCACCTGAGACACGCCGTGGTGAGGAGCAGAGAGCGCGTCTCAGGTGCTGCGGTTATCACTCCGCCTGAGTAGCAGTGCTTCGCCTTCAGAGAATATAGTTCCCAGTATTTATACGGTTAAAATATGTCTCATGTGACTTTGTTTTTTGTACACTCTGTGACTATACAAATCACAACATGTAAATAGGAAAATGTTTGCGTTATTTTGTCACTTATTTGGATTAGTATGCTAGCTGCAACCATTTACATCCAGTCTTTGTGCTAAGCTAGGCTAGCGGTGGGTGCGTCAAACAGACTTATAGCACGCACGGAGATGAAAAAGGTATGTATGGACTTATCTAACACTGGGGGATAAGGTGAATAGGCTAAAGTCCCAAAAATTCGGAGTGTTCCTTTAAGCACGTTGTACGAACCCTGAAGAAAACAGCAGGTAAACGTTCTTACTCAACAGCGGCCAGCTGATCCTGCAGTTCAACGGCTCCCAGACGCTTGTGCACGTCCTGCAAAACCTTCTGCCCCTGGAAACCGCTTCCCCGGCCATCCAGACGAGCTACGATGACATTGTCCGAGCTGACCAGCACAGAGTCCCAGTCCACTGCGTACTGCTCATTCACCTGCTGACCACCGGGGGCAGCATCACTGCACACACACACACACACACACACACACACATACAACACATCAGCGCATCGTCACTGCCTGCTTTTCAATCTGAAACAACACGCATCTCCTGTCTCCGGTCGTGTGTTTACAGCGCCAACAGAACGTGATGTTTTCACAGCTCTTTCTACTCACAAAGAGTCATTTAATTCACCACCACTGCTTGAACTGCACATCACAGGGCTTTAGGAGAGTGGTACAGGTAACTACTCACTTCAAACACCTCCATAAACCCAGGTGAATAGCAGATCTAATAGCACCGCCTCTACTTTGTATGCCGGATCCATTGTAAGCATTTGTGCATAGAGTCCAGTGGGATTGAAATGAACATTTGTCCACAAAACCATGGCATCATGGGAAGTTTCAAAGACTTCTTTTTGCATCATTGCTTTACAGTTCTGCACTGCAAAAAATTAAGTTCTTCCTCTATTGTTTTGTGTTTTTTTCCCCAGTACAAATATCTAAACATAATGAAATGAATTAATGAACAGTTTATCTAAGTATCCTATAGTAAGATAGCCTACTAGTAAAGTTGGCTAATTCATGTTTTACCTTTAACAGCTGTTCTGCCGAAGCCCCAGACAGGGAGATTTTTGTAACAATCATGTCAGTTTTTGCTTGTAATATCACTTTTGTATTAATATTTTTGCTCTGTTATGCTGATTTAGGGGGATATATGGCATTTTTATTTGATTATATGGCAATTTATGATTCAATTAGTAATCATATTTATATACTAGTTTGTTTAAAATACCAAAATCTTACAAAAAAAGAACGAAGATCTACATTTCTCGGTTTCATTCATGGCAAAAACGTGAAAAGTTCCATAGTTTAGTGAAATATTGCTGCCATCTACTGGAAAACAAACACTTTTGCTAGTGTGCAATGAATAGTTTGTGCGTGAATGGCTAGATGTAAAGCTCTTGCTATTTGTGTGTAGGCTGTAATGTGGCTTAGGTGCTATTTTGTATAGTTTAACCATTATCAGCCTTTATTTTATTTTATTTTTTAAGATAATATCATGAACACAATGACGGGTGGAATGGGCTGACATCTTGCCAAGGGCTGCAAATTGGTTTCCTCTGCCTTTCATCGAGTTTGGAAGACACGCTGTGAGTTTACCTTGGATTTACACACACACACACACGCACACACACTTACATTATCAGCAGAAGAGCGTAACTGCGGGACTCAGAGAAGTCGGGTGGATAGGAGATCTTCAGCGGCAACTCTGCAAACACACACGAGGAACAGTTCAGTGCTGCGTATGACCATCTATCAAGTTCAATAGTGGCCAAAAGTGACGCCCAGCCTAGAAAAATTGACACTTTATTCAAATATTATTCAAAATATTAAGATTTTATTGCGTAGTTGTGCTTGGAGTCGATTGTTTTATTAGTGATAATAACAGAATGAAACATGTCAAATTGTGCCGACATCGTTTTTATCCAGACTGTCATGCCAAGAAATTATGAACATGCAAAAACAAGAGAACCAACAAAATATTAATAACTGATTATGTTGTAGTCAGTGTTTGCTTTTTCCTCTGAGCTTTTTGTTTTGCATGAGTAAAATAAAACCTGTAGTTGTAGTTTTTTTGCCATATACTTTTGTCAGATAAATAGATACCTTATTAACCAAGTTTAGTGTTTTGTCCTTCCCTCATATTTAAAAAACGAAATATTTTCCTCATATTTTAATGATTTAATCAAACTTGTAGGGTCATTAACAACATCACTTTTGGCCCAGAGCAAGATATTGAACTCCAGCAGTACCAACCCAAGTCACATTATTCTTTCACACGGTCTGCTGAAGTTAAACTGTGTTTATCAGGTGAAGCTGAACGATACTTTACCGAAGTGGTCCGTCTGGATGCTCCTGAACTCAAACAGCTGGATCCGCTTGTATCTGAGAGCAGCTTTGAGCACTGAGTTATTCTCCAGGATGTAATAACCTGACGAGAGATCAGTACAATAGTTATTTAATAAGCAGAACAGGGCAGACAGTACGGCTGGGCAAAAAAAAAGAAAAGATTTTTCGATTGTTTTTTTTTAAATGTGGTTGAATCGATATCCATTCTCAAAAGCCACAAATCAATCTTTTCTCAATTTTTTTGTTTTTGTTTTATTAATGACGTTTACTTGTCTTTAATAACCATTGAATGTTCGTAGTTTTAGCTGTGGTATTGATATTGGACTTGAGAATTGTGAATTTCACTGGTAACTAAACGTTTATCCTGAAACGTATAGAATTAAGATCTTGTGAATGCGAATGTAATGGAGACATCAGTAACGATACACAGCTCTAGCCAGTGGCGGTTCTACATTGAATTACACCCAGGGCGAGACCCCCTTCAAGCGCCCCCCCCCCCCCAATAAAATCACATATCGTTCATTTGAAAAACACAGTTAAGAGAATACAGTTATTTAACTATTGCTTTAATCTAACTTTCAGGGAACCATAGCTCATCGGTTAGGCTACTGCCTCAAATTCTATGCATTATGCATTGTTAAACTACTTTTTTCACGAAATAGTGTTTTTAAAAGTGAAAGTGGCCGAGAGCTACTTATGTAGTAACACAATACTTAAATCTCTTAAATAATGTCTCATAACTCTCATATTAACAACTATCCAAACTGTTTTAGACCAAATTTTGTAGGCCTATGTCATGCACCCTTAAATGTCAGAGAAAAGAACAGAATCAGAGATTATTTTTTTTTATAAAAAATTGTACTTTGCATATTATAGGCTACTGTAAAAACACATAATTATAGTTGATTTTAGTTAATCATAACTAGAGATGAAATGGTATGAAAATTTCATTTCATGAATAGTGACCAAAATGATCACGGTTAAACACAGAATCTTGTTCAAAAAGTAGGCCTACTAATACACAATGAAATCAATTCACCAAGTTAATAACATTAAAGATGATGGCCAGATTTTAAAATAGTGTCTTTTATGTTATCTACTAACATGTAACGTTACACGTTCAAATAAAGTTTTGACAAAAAAGGTTTTATAAAAAGATAAACCTCACATAGTTCAGCCTTTTAAATCATTTTTTATAAAAATAATGATTTAAAAAAGATAAATTACTGACATTTACAATGCACATCAGCTTATCTTTTATTATGAATAGTCAAATTCGGTCCGATTTTCCCGTGGCGTCTGTCGTTGCTATGCAACCATGCATGCGCTCTCCACAACGACAAAGAAGTTTTAGTAGCTAATGGATTACCACCACAGAAAAACGCTTGCTGTAGCTCTGCTACAAGATTTATTTACGGAGAAGAGAAAAACACCCACGTGTTTGGGTGCACCCCCATACTGAAAAGTTTAAATTTTTTCATCTCGCTGCTCCTGGAAAAAATGAGCGCGTCGCTTCAATTATGGACGCGCTTCCCGTGCGCCTACATTTGAAATAACGACCTCGAGCGCGCAAAAGACGTGATATGTGAACGGCCCCTTGGTGAGTTACCTCCAATCAGGAGACTCCCTTGACATCGCTTCTGTGCACGGCACCTTCTCAGCAAGCAGGGGCGCCATTGCCAATAATTTAATTGAAATGATAGAAAAAACGCTTTGCGGCGCAGAGGATTTTTTTTTAACTGCTCGTGCCGCCCCCCATGTGACATGAAAAAATGCCGCCCCGGGCGACTGCCCGGTTCGCCCGTGCCTAAAACCGCTACTGGCTCTAGCAGAGAGATGGAAAAAAGAAGAAGTGAAAACTCACTGGCAGTGTTGAGAGAGTGTATGATCGCTGTCGGCGCTCCTGGACCTGCAGATAAAACAAGAACCAAACATTGTGGCCACTTTAACCACAACAGTCAGTCTGCACTGCAAAAAACATGTTCTTTCTTATGGTGTGAAGAAGGCTCCATGCCGCTACACATGGGCGTTTTAAAGTTGTCTGTTTAGGACATGTCATTTTTGTAATAAAGACATTTTAATTAAGGAGTGCCTCGGTTATCAGAGAAGTCTTTCTCTACACTGTCTCTTAGATGTTCTACCTTGGACCGAAGAGCACCCAAATCAAACTCAAAAGGAATTGAGCACGCCATTCATCTTGAATCTAAACTTTATAGTGTGTTCACACCGAACGCGAATAGAGCGTCAAATACGCGTCTATCGTGTCTAGTTAGACGCTTGAATCTTCCGCTCGAGTTAAAAATTTTCAACTTGCGCGGCAAGTTCGCAGCAAACGCGTCGCCCAATTCGTGTCATTCGCGACGCCCGGCGCGAATGATGCGTCTATTCGCGTCTTTCCATTGACTTTGTATGTAATCTACTCGCAAATTAAATTCGCGTTCGGTGTGAACACACCATTAGTGTTTCTGGCCTGTTTTTTACAGTACAAATATCTAAACATTCTTAAATCAACACATATTAACTTGAGAAGCAAAACTGAAGATATTAAGCCTTGCTTTCTGAAAAATTGTAAAAAAAAAAAAAAGCATAAATCAAGAAAAAAATATTCTATTGGGTTCAGTGGGAAAAAAAATGTTTTTCCTTTAAATTCTTAGTATTTCTGTTCTGTTTTCCAGTACAAATATCTAAACATTCTTAAATCAACACATTAACTTGAGATTTCTGGAAAAAAGCAAAAAAAAAGCACAAAAAAAAAAGAAAGGTTTATGCATAAATCAAGAAAAAAATATGCTATTGGGTTCAGAAAAAAATATATAGTTCTCTCTTTGAATTAAGTACATTTTTCCGACTTTATTGATATATATTTTTTTGATTTAAACTTCAATTTTTAATCATTTAGATCTTAAAGGGATTACTCCACTTTTTTTTGGAAATAGGCTCATTTTACAACTCCCCCAGAGTTAAACTGTTGAGTTTTACCGTTTTTGAATCCATTCAGCCGATCTCCGGTTCTGGCGGTACCACTTTTAGCATAGCTTAGCATACATCATTGAAGTGGACACGACCATTAGCATTTGATGATATGACGCAGCGCGTGAAAATAGGCCACCTTCCGTCAATACAACGGAACTATTTTCAGGCGCTGCGTCATATCATTACGCCTGCTGCACTCATGGTACGGCAGTGAAGTTAATTGATTATTACGCAGGAATGAGAGTATAGTTCCTAGCCATATCAGCCTAGAAAATCGCAACTTTACATTTTCCGCCGGTCTTAGTGCACGATGTAACTACAGAAGAGTCAAGTTTTAAATAGGAAAAATATCGAAACTCTTTGGTCATTTTTTTTTTAGAAATGCTAATGGTCGTGTCCACTTCAATGATGTATGCTAAGCTATGCTAAAAGTGGTACCGCCAGAACCGGAGATCGGCTGAATGGATTCAAAAACGGTAAAACTCAACAGTTTAACTCTGGGGGAGTTGTAAAATGAGCCTATTTCCAAAAAAAGTGGAGTATGCCTTTAATATCTTCAGTCATTTTGCTTCTCCAGTAAATGTATCTTGATTTAAGAATGTTTCGATATTTGTGCTGGAAAAGACGAGAGAAACACTGAGAAAGAACATGATTTATTTGCAGTGTGCTGCAGTGCTAATGCTCACTGAGGGGTGAAAGGTCACTCATCAGGACTGTGGACTGTCATGCAAGAGTAAATGATAAATTCACTGTCCTCGTACCTTTGCAGTGCAGAAGGACGTGTTGGTTGGTTGGGCTAAAAATGGCACTGAAGAACGTGCAGTGAGCTTTATTCAGCTCACAGGTCAGACATCGCCGCGAAAACAGGTCCACTGTGGACACACTGCACACAAAAGGGACCAATCAGAGCCAGGGATGTTATTATTTGAGTTTTAAATAGATTTTTGTTTTGCATTTTGCTTTTTAATTTCAGGGTTTTTTCCCAGTTAGTTTTAATGGGGCATAAATATTTCATTGTAATCAGTTAATATTTAGTTTTAGTTTTTAATATCATGGTAAAAGCCTTTATATTTGTAAATGTGTATTTGATTAAGATGGAGTTATTATCAAAAGACAAGAGTATCTAACACCTAACAAGCTACAAAAATGAATTTAGCTGTTTTGCCATTTATTACTACACAAAAATTCTATTAATCATGCAGTATTAAACACATCCTATACATTAAAACCTTAAAATATTGTCTGGAACAACAACAACAAAATGTAAAGCTTGTTTTTGCTTGCCATACATATTTCAAAGATTTCACTTTGCATAGAGATATACAACTTCTGCATCATAACCGAATAAGTAAACAATGCATTTGCTTCATTGTGAGAGCTTGTTTAATACACTTTCAAATCTTCCCATTTATTAAAGTGCATTAAATGTTTCCATTGCTGCCGAGTACCATGCATATGCTTTCATCAGAAGCAGAATCGTAAAAAACTAAATCCTAAACTGAGCTTTTCCCACAGATTCATTTTATCCATTAGTGGCTCACTACTGCGAATTGGCTAATTCTAATACATGTGAGGTTACTCTGTATGGAAGCTTGTTTCCGCCACAGTATGAAAAATAAAAAAGGTAATTGCGACCTTTTTATCTCACAATTCTGACTTTATTTCTCAGAATTGCAAGATATAAAGTCAGAATTACGTGATATAAAATCGCAATTGCGTGAAATAAAGTCGCAAAAGTCGCGAGATATAAAGTCAGAATTGATTGATATAAAGTCTGAATTGCGAGATATAAAGTCAGAATTGATTGATATAAAGTCGCAAATTGCGAGATATAAAGTCAGAATTCCGAGATATAAAGTCAGAATTGCGTGAAATAAAGTCGCAAAAGTCGCGAGATATAAAGTCAGAATTGATTGATATAAAGTCAGAATTGCGAGATATAAAGTCAGAATTGATTGATATAAAGTCAGAATTACGAGATATAAAGTCAGAATTGATTGATATAAAGTCGCAATTGTGTGTTGTAAAGTCAGAATTGCGAGATATAAAGTCAGAATTGCGTGATATAAAGTCAGAATTGCGTGTTATAAAGTCAGAATTGCGAGATAAAGTCAGAATTGCGATATAAAGTCAGAATTGAGAGATATAAAGTCAGAATTGTGATATAAAGTCAGAATTATGAGATATAAAGTCAGAATTGCGAGATATAAAGTCAGAATTGATTGATATAAAGTCGCAATTGCGAGATATAAAGTCGCAATTGCGAGATATAAAGTCGCAATTGCGAGATATAAAGTCAGAATTGCGAGATATAAAGTCAAAATTGCGTGATATAAAGTCAGAATTGCGTGTTATAAAGTCAGAATTGCGAGATATAAAGTCAGAATTGATTGATATAAAGTCGCAATTGCGAGATATCAAGTCAGAATTGCGTGATATAAAGTCGCAATTGGGTGTTGTAAAGTCAGAATTGCGAGATATAAACTATTCTGAGGGGGAAAAAGTTGGTCTTTTTTCCCCCTTAGAATTGGCCTGATAACTCGCAATTGCGACTTTATATCTCACAATTCTGAGAAAAGATGTCAGAATTTCGAGATATAAAGTCGCAATTATGTGTTATAAAGTCAGAATTGCAAGATAAAAAGTCGCAATTCTGTCTTTATATCTCGCAATTGCGACTTTATTTCTCAGAATTGCGACTTTACATCTCGCAATTGCGACTTTATTTCTCATGATTCCGACTTTATTTCTCGCATTTGCGACTTTATTTCTCAGAATTGCGACTTTACATCTCGCAATTGCGACTTTATTTCTCATGATTCCGACTTTACATCTCGCATTTGCGACTTTATTTCTCAGAATTCCGACTTTATATCTCGCAATTGTGAGATAAAAAGTCGCAATTTAAAAAAAAAAAAATGTATTCAGTGGCGGAAACAAGCTTCCATAACTCTGGCATCTACTGGTTATTTATGATTCAGCAACATTGATGGATACACTCCTTTCAACCTCCGCTTTTTAGTCAAACCACGCAACATTTAAAATACGAGAACGTATGCATTTTTCTCTGAAATTTTCGTGTGATTTTTCATTAATAATAACCATGATCAGAGGCCTGGTTTCCCTATACGCTCATCTGAACACACTTCTATTGATCACGGTTTTTGTGACGACTCATTAAATCAGGACACAGCTTTGAAGTATTTCGAGAATCCTTTTCTGAGTCTGACATTAGACGAAGAGCTTGTTCTGGAGGATCAAACATGAACGGACACGAATCTCACCTGAAGAGCTGCCGGCGGGTCGGGGAGCCCTCGGTGCTCAGGAAATATCTGCAGAACAGACCGTGATAGTTATAGTGCTTTATAAACACTGTGATCATGTGTGATACAGTAAGATCATGCACCCCAAGAAAAAAAAAAAATCTTACTCTGTGTTCTTGTCTTGTTTTTCAATACAAAAATCTATACATTCTTAAAGGGATCGTTCACCCAAAAATGAAAACTCTGTCAGTAATTACTTGCCCTCATGTTGTTCCCCGTAAGACTTTCGTTCATCTTCGGAACACAAATTAAGATATTTTTGATTAAATCTGAGAGCTGGATCACTCCTCCATAGGCTTCTTAAGGGATCGAAACTTGCCGGCCCAGAAAAGTTATTAAAGACATCATTAAAATAGTCCAAGTGAGTACAACCCAGAAGCGCTGCGCTGTTACACTACGTGAAATCTCGAGGCCCACAGAGAAGGAAATGAATAGTTGAATAAAGTCGTTATTTTTGTTTGTTTTTTGCGCACAAAAAGTATTCTTGTCGCTTGATAAACTTAAAGGGGTCATATAATGGTACATGCACTTTTACAAGTTGATGGTACTGAAATGTGTGTTGGCAGTGCCTGTACACAAACATCATATAATGATAAAAATCCATCCAGTGTTTTTGTTTTAATCTCCTTATATGTTTTCCCCTGCCTCAAATCAAGCCGTTCAACCGTGTGACGTCACACGCTCGGAAGCCCCTCCCACGATTGTTGATTGACAGCAGCGTTTCAACACAGACCCACCCTCGCTCGTGAGTCAATCATAGTCTGCGCGGACCGGTGTGGTGCCGAATTCTGACCCCCGCCAAATTATTACCCCCTAGTATGGTAGGTTTAGGATTAGTTTTGGGGGAGGGGTTAGGATTAGGGGTGGAGTTAGGATTAGGCAATCAGGTACTGATTTCAACGAGGGGGGTAATAATTTGGCAGGCAGTCGAAATTCGGCACAACACCGGCGCGGTCATTGTTGATATGCTGGAGCACTGTCTATGAGCAGAATGGCGTCTAAGCGATTGTGCTGTTCTGTTCTTGGGTGTAATAACGAACACAGCAGTCATTTTAATGTTCCTAAATCCGAACCGCTGAAGACGCAGTGGCTGAGTTTGTTTTCGAAGGGAATATTCCCCACGAGCAACGTCAATGCTCTCATGTTTGCGCGAATCATTTCACACCAGACTGCTTTATAAACGAGGATCAGTATAAAGCTGGTTCTCTTACGAGAGGTTCTCTCGTATTGCGTAAGCTAGCTTACGCTGCGGGAAAGATTCATCTTTGCTGAGATATTGAAGCCAAAAAATTATTTCATAATTTGTATCCATACACAACGCAGTTCCTCTGCGGCAGACCTAGAGCAGGCTAGCTAGCAGCTCATTGGTTCGCTCAGAGAGAACTGCTTAAGCCTATGGGAGAGCGGGGCTGAACCCGCTTCCAATGAGAGGCGCCCGCGCGCTCATTGCGTCCGCGCGCTCATCGCGCGCTCATTGCGCTCATTGCGGAACGCCGCCGCCGCTTCCCGCTTCCCGCTCTCCCTCCCCGCCCTTGCCGGACATACAGTTGCCGCCGAGTGGCCGCTCTGTCGCTTCCGATGACGCCGCGGAGGAGAAGGACTCATGTTCACTGCTCGCATCAGACAGTGAAGATTGGTCATCTCTCGGATCCACGAGAGAGTCGGCGGGGATCCGCGCCGGGATAGAGGAGGAACTAATGCGCCTCCTCTCACAGGCCGTCGAACGCCTCGGTCTCGAGTGGTCTCCTCCACCCGAGCAGGCCCCGAACCGGATGGACGGCAGCTTTTTTCATCGGCGCTCGACCCCCGCGTGTAACCGGGCCGCCCCATTCCTGCCTGAACTTCACACAGAGCTGACGAAGTCCTGGAATGCCCCGCTCTCGGCTAGAAACCGCTCCGATATATCCGCCTCGCTGCGCTCGGTGGACGGAGCCGCCGAAAAGGTTACTCAGCCATGCCGCCCGTCGAGGACTTGGTCGCCGCACACCTCTGCCCGCCCTCTGCTAGATGGCGCTCTTCCCCCACGCTTCCTTCGAAAGCTTGCAGAGCGACCTCGAGCTTTCATGCTCGCGCCTACGCCGCCGCCGGTCAGGCCGCCGCAGCGCTGCATTCTATGTCTGTCCTCCAAGTATTACAGAGCGATATTCTCCGTGAGTGGGCCGAAAGCGGTAGAAACCCCTCCCCCGCTGTCACGGATCTGAGAAGTGCTACGGACCTCGCCCTTCGCGCCACTAAAGCCGCCGCACAAGCTCTGGGGAGATGCATGGCCAGCCTTTGTGTTGCCGAGAGACACTTATGGCTCACGCTCGCCGACATGGGAGATTCTGAGCGCGCCGCGTTTCTTAACGCGCCCCTCTCCCCGACGGGCCTTTTTGGATCTGCTGTCACGGGAATCGTCGATCGCTTTTCTGAGGTCCAGAAAGCTACTCAGGCGATGAATTTGTTTCTGCCCCGCCGCGCTAGCTCTTCCGCGGGCCGCTCTCGCGAGCCTCCTACCAGAGCTCCACCACAGCGCCCCCCTCCGCAGACTCAAACAGCCCAGCGCAGACAGGGCGGCCGCCCTCGCTCTCGCTCTGACAGCCGCCGCCCCCTCGAGGCCCGCGACCTAAGATCACGCTGAAGCCTGATCATCAGAAGTCTGCCTAGCAAAGTCAAGAAAACGACGGTGCTCTCCCGCTGCGGCCGGACCGCCGTCAAAGCTTCGCCCTCTGCCAGTCCCCGTTATTTCGCCGACTGCTGTAGTGTTGACCGCCACAAACAAGCCGGTGTCCCAGCCCGCTTGCGAGCGACAAAAAGCCGTTTTTACGGCTACCCAGAGAAATCTCAAAAAGAGAAAATTTGCCAGTTGTGTAGAAAATGTGCCCACAATCATGTGCTCACCCATACACACAAGCATAACATATCCCGTGTCTCTATCAGAGCCCCATCACATGAAACGGGCACAGCCCGCTCTAATATCAGAGAACATAAACACGCCCACGAGCTCGTGCGCGTGTCCCCTCTCTGCTCGCTCTGTTTCACGGCCCATAGACTCCTCTCTGAGTGCAAATCCCGTTGCCACACACATTCAAAGCGCGCCCACACACTGTGTCCAGCCCGCTATGTGCAGCAATCAGGGCGATATAGCCATTCGGCCACTAGCCGCATGCTCCAAAGCGTGGGAAGCCATTCCAGGCATTTCCCCGTGGGTACTAAGCATTATAAAGAACGGCTATCTGCTACAGTTTCGCCGCCGCCCGCCTCGTGCGCGCGCGCGGCTCGAATCTACTGTCAGCCCGCTGGCCGCCGGCACGCTCCGCTCAGAAATTGCGACGCTGTTGCAAAAGGGCGCCATAGAGTGAGTCCCACCATCTATGACCGAGTCGGGGTTTTACGGCCGTTATTTTCTGGTTCCCAAGAAAGACGGCGGCCTCAGACCGATTTTAGATCTCAGGTCTTTGAACAAAGTGCTCATGAAGAGACCGTTCAAGATGCTCACTACCAGGAAACTCCTCGCGCAGGTGCGCCAGGGGGACTGGTTCATCTCTCTAGACCTGAAAGACGCCTATTTTCAGATCCAGATAAATCCCCGTCACAGGCCATTCTTACGTTTCGCCTTCGAGGGTCATGTTTATCAATACGCCGTTCTCCCGTTCGGCTTATCCCTGGCGCCCCGCACATTTACGAAGTGCATGGATACAGCGCTCGCCCCCCTGCGGAGCCAGGGGCTGCGCATATTGAATTATCTGGACGACTGGCTGATTTTGGCCCAATCACAGACGGAGCTTCTGTCGCACCGCGCAGTTCTCCTCGACCATCTGAAAACGCTGGGCCTCTCTGTCAACTGGACAAAGAGCTCCCTTCAACCCAGTCAATCGATTTCCTTTCTAGGAATAGATTTGAACTCGGTCACGATGACGGCTCGCCTGTCTACACAGCGCGCGCGCAGTGTACAGCGACTGGCCGCCTCGTTTCAGATGAGCACCCGCTCACCTCTGAAAAATTTTCAGAGGATGCTGGGTTACATGGCCTCAGCCTCCGCTGTGCTTCAGCTGGGCCTTCTGCACATGCGTCCGCTTCAGCTTTGGTTAAACAGCCGTGTACCCCACCGCGCGTGGAACACGGGCCGCCAGCTGATCAGAGTTACGCAGACATGTCTCACGGCGCTGCAGCCATGGACAGTAGCAGAATGGTTTCGACAGGGCGTCACGATGGGGACCTTTTCCCGCCGAAAAGTCATCTCGACAGATGCATCCAACACGGGTTGGGGTGCAGTCTGCGAGGGCTCACCGGCCTTCGGCCATTGGTCGACACAGGAAAGCCCCTTACACATAAACTGTCTGGAAATGCTTGCGGTCGAGAACGCGCTTTCGCGCTTCCTCCCGCTCATTCGGGGACACCACGTCCTGATCCGTTCGGACAACATGGCTGTGGTCTCCTATCTCAACCGTCAGGGCGGTGTCAGGTCCAGGAATCTCTTCCTACTGACACACCGCATTTTAGTTTGGTCTCAGAGCCGCCTGCTCTCGCTCAGAGCGACGCATGTGCCGGGCCATCTGAACGACGGTCCAGACATACTGTCCAGGAACCTCATCTCCTCAGGAGAATGGTCCCTGAACACACAAACGGTCCAAATACTGTGGCGGCTATTCGGCAGAGCAGAGGTGGACCTCTTCGCGTCAGAAGAGAACGCTCACTGCCCAATATTTTTCTCAAGGAGCGAGGACGCGCTAGCCCAGGAATGGCCTCGCCGCCCGCTCTATGCATTCCCTCCGATCGCTCTGCTACCACAGGTAATTCAGAGGATCAGGGACACACGCCACTCGGTGCTCCTCATAGCCCCGCGTTGGGAGAGTCAGAATTGGGTTCCGGAGCTCACTCAGCTGTCGCAGACAGCCCCGTGGCCTATCCCAGTCAGAGCAGATCTCCTCTCTCAAGCTCGCGGCACGATCTGGCACCCCCATCCACGGCGCTGGGCGCTACATGCATGGGTGATCAACGACTATTCGTCGATTTGCCAGAAGGAGTAA